GAATATATTCTATCAAGTTATTATAATAAATATTATATTGCGAAGCTGTCAGCTTGGAGAACAGTTTCATTTGCTTAATATATTCCGATCATTCCTTCTAAATGTATTCAATTGCTGCGCCTTTTATCGGCTATCGGTGTTCTTACATGTATCGTTAAACAAATGCATGGAGCTAAAATATAATGTATTTTTTTAAAATACATAACCTAACAACATATTGATAAATAGATATATTACTGCTGAATAAAATTGTATATCTATGTAAATGTATAACCAGTTACCCAAATGTATGTATGTGTGGCTACTTTTTTGGTATTTGTTCGTGAATATGATTTGGTCACACATAAGTTGGTCCTTTGAGCAGTTGTGTACTCAAACAAAGTGAAATATGTATGTAAATGTTTGTACATTTAATTGGCCCCACTTATAGAAAAGTGCAGAATAATGGTAATTAATAGAGTATATAATTACGATATTTAAGCTCCTGCTAAAATATAAAGTGTGAATGTGCTTCTGGTCTAACGTATTTCTGTTAAGGATAAATCAAAATTGTTTGTATACATTACTCCTTTTATACATACATATATACATATGTATTTACAAACAAAGTGTTTATTATGATGGAGCAATGCAATGCTGTAATCATTTCAACATTTCTCAGTTAAGATATACAGTCATACATATGTATGTATATCTATAGGCACTAACCTGCTATAAGCCTACATGCACAATTGCTGAATGGACAAATGCAATTGTAAGCTATATTAGTGAAAATCAATGTAATGTAATAAAATGCTTAAACTGGGAATATTATAATAAAATTCTAAACTAAAAACAATGCTTCCCTCTAATTCATGTATCCACCTTTAGAGACTTTTAGATCTTTTTATTCTACAAGCCGATAAATTCGATAGGTCATCGACAAAACTTTTGATTCTCGACTGATTGAAATTGAAATTAAAATACTGTTCCTTGAGAAACCTGAAATAATTTGTAGACATTATTTAATGCTCCAAGAAGAAATTGAATTTGCTATTGTCGGCTATATTAAGTTGTTGATATTTTGACGTAGTTATGTATGTTTGATAATTAATATCAAAGTTAAATAAGTGATTTTTAATAAACTTTAACTTTTCTAATTTTAGTTTCGTTTACCTCATGGAAGCTTAATAAAGATAATAATTGTCCTGCTGTTCGTAAACATACTATTGTTAGTAAAAGTGTATCCACCCTACAAATCTGTCACTAATGGGAGTAGCAGACACCCAACAAATACTGATGGCGGAAAGACTAAAGCTACCGTTCCCTTGAACTGCCCATATCATTCCGACGTTGGACCACAAATGACAATGTCCACTACGAATTTGGAACATTTCATATCTGAAAGTAATAAAACGAAGTTAACTTTCGCAAATATTGATATCAGCTACGGACGCTGGGATAACCAACACAAGTACAAGATCAAGGATTTTGCCGTTGTAGGCGAACAGTATACAGAATCTTCAAAAATTAGTCTAATATGCCTAGCTACGCAAAGTTCGGTAGAACGGCTATACTCTTTGCCACAAGTTGCCGCGAATTGGATCGGTCCCATGTCTGTGGCATTATTCTCTGCCGGAAATGAGGAATATATAGTATTAAAATACTTTGTCACGTATATGCGGCTTTGCTTTCCTAATGTTAAAGCAAATGCGACATTTCATATTTTGTTTCCTCAGGAATATGAAAACCTTCCGGGACATTTAACAGAACCATTGAATATCCAAAAAAAATTCAACTGTCGAAACCCTGAGAAGACGCTAAAATTCTTATTAAAATTAAGAACTGCGAAAACCTTAGAATGGAGAAAAAGAAATGTATATCCTCAGAACCACATGAGAAATTTAGCCCGCAAGGGATGCCAATCGAAATATGTGTTTTTAACCGACATTGATATAATACCTAGTGTTAATAGTGTTGTACAGCTTAACCATTTTTTTAAAACTGTCGATTGCGAGAAGAATTGCGCCTATGTTATTCCCACTTTTGAAATTGATGTTCGAGCATCGTTTCCACAATCAAAGGAAAGCCTGCTAGCTCTAACGAAAAAGGGATTAGCGAGACCTTTCCACGAAAAGGTGTTTATTTACAATCAATATGCAACCAATTTTTCAAAGTGCGTATATTTTTTCAATGAAATTAAATGAACTAAAGTGCATTATGTTAGTTGTGCCTATCGATTTTTATCGATTTCTTCTTTTCAGATGGTTAACATTAAAGGGAAATGAGACTTCAGTTAGCATAAGCCACATAGTAACAAACTTTGAGTTCTTATATGAACCGTTTTATATAGCATTAGATACTGTTCCCATCCATGATGAAAGATTTACTGGTTATGGATTTACTAGGAATTCTCAAGTAAGTATAAGTTTTGAATGGCGCATAGAAATAAGTTTCAGACTTTTGCTTTAGCAAAAGATGCCAATTTCCGCCTTCCCTTTAGATATTATTATATATGTGTATTAATATATTATTTTTAGGTCTACGAAATGTACGTGGCTGGATACAAATTCTATGTTCTATCGCCCGTTTTTACCTGCCATTGGGGCTTACAAAGAAAACAAGCGAGGCCTGCATGGAGAGAGCAACAGAATAACGCCAATCGAAAAAAGTTTGACAGCTTTAAAAGTGAAATATTTGCACGATATAAAAACGATCCACATATTAAAGTAAAATAAAAGTGTTCAATTTTAACCTAATCGTAAGGTAATTTACATCTACTAACTATTTTCGCAAAGAAGTCATCGGTTCTTAGTTTGTCTGATTGTAATCGGGTTTCTTTACAAAGATTTAACCAAGTGGTTAAAAAGTCTTGCTCGCTATCTGCATTTATCTATCGATAATTTTGCTTGGAATTTCAACGTTTGCTACTGAAGTTAATTGATAAATTCACTTTTAGTGGGTAAATAAAAAAAAAAAACTTGCAAATTGAACATAAGTGTTTTATATATGTATAAATATATATATATTTGTTTTGGTGAGATTTTATTGTTTATTTTGTTTAAAAATGCAGGCTTTCCAAGCAGCTTGTTGATTTGTCACAGCTATTTTTCGATATTCAGTACTTGTGAAAAGTAACGAATAGACACATATCGCTCATCGCTAATGTTCGCTTTGGTTAGACAGTTTAATTTATTTTGCCGACTATTCATGACTTAGTTGATATAAATAAATAAGGAACTRAAATCGAAGTAGAATGTTATACGGAATATTAAGTCTGTGCTGGATTCCGTTAGCGGGATTTGTTTCATTCTTGATCATTTTATCTGCTATCAACAAATCTATTGGAGTGCGAAGGGCATACGTGAAACTCCTTCTAAGGATATTTGAGGTAATTTTACTTAAGAATTATGTGTAAATATAATAATATGTGTACATTTATATGTATTTATAAATAAAGTGTTATGTATAAATAGAATGTAAAACTTGATTGTTGCTCAAAAACGCAATTTATTAAATCATAGTGGATTATAAATAAGTTCATCAATATAGCTTGCTTCAATAATAGTACTTATGTGTTTGAATAACAGTATTAGAAGCATTTGAATGTACGTTTGAATGACTTAAAGCTCAGTTAGCCTCTATAAGTAAATATGTACACAGTATCACTATAATAACGGAATGTTTAGCAATCAACTTTCTATGAGATTGTATTTGATTTCGTCAAAATACAAACAGTGATTCAAAAAAGTTTTTGTGCACCAGTAAATTTGGTCCCTTCAGGACGATCGATAAATGAGAATGAAAGAAGCATAAATCTAAAATAAATAAATATAATTTTTGTATGAAATTACATTATTTTACTGCTTTTTACTTTGTCTAGACAATTATTAAATTTATAGCAAACATGAAATTTCACTATCAATGTATATTCGTGCGGACTGCTGTCTGATAGTGTTAACATTTTTTATACGCCCACGAAAGGTGGGCAAATCGCGATATATTCTATAATATATATTAGATTATAAACAAATTCTACAAATCCATCAACAAATTATATAATTTGCTCTTTGGGGTCAAAGTTTCAATATCCTCCATAGACTCGTTAAGTAATTTTGAAACAGACCAATGTGATCATCGCAGCTGTTTTTGAACCGCAATCGAATATTACGCAATTTGCTAGTGCAAAACGGTTACGTTACTTTTATGGCTCTTACTATTTTTTATTACTAAGATAGTATAATTATATATTTACTCCCAGTCGATAAGTATAAGCCACTTTTTATTGGAAAAATTTTATCTTGAAATATATATTTTTTAGGTGCTACTATGTCTATAAGAGTCAACAATTGTGAATAAAACAACTATGCCGGGTTTTTCATAGAGTACTTAAATTAAAATAAATTGGCTTTTATTTCTATATTAAAAAATAAAACATAAGAAATGCTGTGTTAAGTCAATTGCACATTTATCGGGCTTCAGTTCTAATAGGCTTTAATATCGGTTTGCCGATATGCAAATGCAAGATTAAAGTGAGACAATACTAAGGCATAAAAATGCGAGGGTATAGCAGGCATAGATTCAATTCAATTTCAATTTCCTTAATAATAATAATAGAGGCTCAGAAATGTTCTWATATAGATTTCCTCTAAGGCTTTAAGGCTTTTTGAATGACAGGCAAGATGCAAGTATATTTATGTAGCTTTAAACTTGAGATTTACTGTCTTTTAATGGAAAGAAATGATAAACGCTTCCTTCCAGATGACATGAAAATCTGAATATCTGAAGTATCAGCAGAAAAGAATAATATAATCATTCAGACGGGTAGACCATCAAAATCCGGTAAGTATACCGGCTTGATTATGTTAATGATGAATGAACATGTAGAGATCTCTTTGGGGGTGCTCAAATCAAAAACTCTTTCAAGGTTTTAGAACTATTCACAAAATTGAGATCAGAAATCATCGCCTCTAGAAATTTCAGAATCAGCTGGTTCAAAGTACTTCGATTTCCCAATATTCTCCTCTGGTAGTTTTTGGTATGCATGAGATTGGGGAGTAGGTCAAAAATGCATGAGATCAGAGTTGCATGCTTCTCACATAACTTTAGTTGTACTGGGCTACCTCCTAGTCAAGGATATCCCCATCTCTTTAATAAATTTTGTATAAATTATTTCTGACTTAAAATTTATAACAGACACCGATACGTTTAAAAGATTTAAGAAGTATTCTATTTCGTTTGTTAACAATTTTCAAATTCTTTCGATTATAGTACGGCCGTAACAGCATAGAATCGGCGTCAAATGAAAATCTGAAGAACCCCAATGAAAAGACGGCTGAAGATCAGAACTCACAGGTGGAGCTAGTGAATGGATTAGACGCAAAAGAATCAACAACTGGAGCAGTGCTTATCAACCGGGATGCTGTTTTGCTACCCCAGCCTCAAGAGCTAAATCATGATAAGCCCAATTCAATAAAAAAGGTAAATATATACAATGCTTTTCTATAATCGTACACATTCATTCCAGATAATGGCTATTCAAGTAGGGAATGTTGTTTTTTTTTTCAGATAAGATTGCTTTAAAAATAGAAGATTGCTTTAAAATTAAAGATAGAATGCCTTACAACTTATAACAAATATTTACATTTTATTTTTAGGAGGAAATAAACTTCGATTTTGAAAATTGCTTAGATTATGTGAAAGCTGGAGTCGAAGCGATTATCGAAGATGATGTTACCTCAAGGTTTCAGGCTGAAGAGCTTAAGAACTGGAATATGCTGACGCGAACAAATCGACATTATGAATTTATATCATGGAAAATAACATTGATATGGGTGGTTGGATTTGCAGTGCGATATAGTATATTGATGCCACTGCGCGTATTCGTTTGCTTTGTCGGAGTAAGTATTCATTCGATGATAACATTCTTAATAACAGAGATAGAATTCATTCAGTTAATACCTTATCTGTTGCCCATATTAGAACAAGATATTGTCATTTATACATATGACACTCTCAGAATTTTAGGGGCTGAAATTTAATAAATTGATTCCCACGCTCTTAATGATAATAAAGTCAATATATTATCTATAATGGTAATTATCTAAAGTGGGCGCGTATCAAATGATATTATATTTTCTATAGCCTTACAGCCGCAGCCAATATTATGGACGCTAAATTCTACTCTACAAGAGATAGAGAAAATTAAATAGATTATTACAACTGAAATACATAGAAAAAATTAGGCGTAAACTATGTCTTGTCCGAATATGAACTGAGCCATATAGACTCGAGTTGAGTTTTCCCTTGGAATGTCGCGCAAGCACACAGCCTCCTGAGGTAGTTTTTTTAATTTAACAATTATACATATATTGGTTAGGCTAAGCTGTTGGTTGTTTGATCTGTATTATATGTATAATTATTTTTCGCATTTAATTTGTGAAATATTTTCTTTTTTTTTATTTATATTAGAGTTCTTACAATTTTTCATCTAACGTTTTAATCAGAAATTGAATAGAACCTTTAAAAATTATTATCAATAAATGAGAAAAAGCTAAGGAAAGGGCATGCCAAGACTGTAGCGAATTTAGGAGAGTTCTCGCCCTGGTTGTCATGTTTATATTTATTTCTTTGATTATTAATATTTAACTTTGGTTCAACAGGTTGTATTTGCAGTTATTTCAAATGCATTTGTGGCCCTAGTACCCTATCGATTTTTGCGGCGCCCCTTAGCGGATTTATGTTTTAAAATAACCTTCCGTCTCATATCAAGCTCTTTGTCAGCAGTTATAACATTTCACAATAAGCAATATAAGCCCACATCTACTGGGTTTTGCGTAGCCAATCATACCACGCCCTTTGACGTCGCAATACTCTCTACAGATTGTACATTTTCCTTGGTGAGATAGAAGATTTTTTACCTTTCAACTGCATTTCAGTTTTATTTCAATGCACTTTTGTTTATTTTGTTTCTCATGGTTATGATTTGCTGATGCTCATTCTCGAAAGCGTCAAAATAAATTTCATACTCGGGCTCCATTATAAATGAAAATCATCCTGAGTTAAAAAACTTCGTGCACCAAATTTATAATTTAATGATTTTTTTTTTGAAAATAGCACCTCATTTATATTTTCATGATTTCATGATTGGAAATAGCTTTTGCTTATGTTAATGAGATCCATATACATATGGCTTGTTATATGTTTAATGTTTCGTTTTCCGTTTTTATCTGTTTATATGTTTTTGCTTTTTGTTATTGTCCAACAACAATGCAAGTTCAGTTAAGTTCAAATATAAAATGGGCTTAGTTTAATTGCAAATAAATTGCAATTGGGTAAGTGAGCACAGATGAAAAGGTAAAGTACACGGTTGACAATTGGATCCGAGTTGATGTCATATACTTTTGCAGAAGTTACTAAAGCTAGAACTTAATTTGTTTAGAGGATTCTTTGCTATTCATCTTATATTTGGCTTTGCAGTTCCTTAAGTTCAAAATCAATCATAAACAGAAATGATATAATTCAGGGACTATCCACTTATGTTTGGAAAATAAAACATGGAGTTTTTAATAAATATATTAATATAACAAGGAATATTATTTTCTAAGAAATATTTTAGCTATTCCTAAAATTGGACAGCGAATGCCCAGGCCTAGAAAGGAGAAATAAATATATTTGCTTGAACAATCAGACAGACAGTTGTTTGAGCTTTACTTTATAACCTATTCCTAACGCTCTAATATAATAATTTCTTCAAATATAATATTTGTGTAGTGTGCATTTGTGATTTGTGCAATGATTACTAAAAAAGTTGACTAAACATGTATTGCTTTGCATAATGCCGCTACTAACGACCGTTTCCAGAATTAATTTTACTAATAAAGCATAATTATGACCATCGTCGTAACGTCGCCCGAGTATAATTTGTTGATCTAGTGAGACGTTCGATACCATTTCTATGCCTCTGATATGGAAGTTAGATTTATATTGTTGCTTAGGTTGAATCTAGTGAGATTTTTTCAATACTGATCTGATTTCGTTGGATAGGAAAGCTAACTATCGTAATATAATATCGTTTACAAACCGATACTTTCGCTAATTGAAGTATGTATGTTATATATGCATACATACTTTGGTGATTAATTACAAATGTAAAATATTTCGTAGGCATATATTAAAGTGATGCGATTTGCATTATTTTAATTGACAAGCCATTTAAATTAAACTTAAAATAATAAGCACAATTTAATATAAGATCTAAATTACACACGCCTTTTGTTCTATGCAATCTCAGGTAGTGTGGTTGACAGCATGCACAGCAGCTGTGGGAAATCTTAAGGATGGCGAAAGAAAACGCGCTATTGTGAATAAGGTGCTGGGGCAGTGCTTTGGCCTCCTGTCCAGTGCCATTTCAGCAGTTATAACTTATCATAATGAGGATAATCGACCGTCATCGACAGGTATTTGTGTGGCGAATCATACAAGCCCCATAGACGTACTCGTACTGATGTGTGACACAACCTATTCTCTGGTAAGAAATCAAACGAATTTCGAGGAATTTGCACTCCAAATAATATTTGAAACTTGACAGTATTTGTATGTATTATTTGGCTAGGACACTACGATTCATTTAGCACTTGGCAAAAAGTTGTGAAAAATGATTCATAGTCTATATATTGTATATATTACAACATTAATTTGACAAATATTCAACATTTTATTTTTAGTTTCCATTTTTTAATTTTCCATGCGTTGATTGAAAATGTAAATACATTCAGTTTTGCATAAATTATTAAAAAATGCGAGAGAAGGCATTTAGATTTGTGATGATGCTAGATGAATTCAGGTTTTATAATAATCATGCGAATTATTTGCTTTGAGCTTTTATATACTCTCTCTACACAAGATACAACAAAAATGTTACATGTAGAGGTATCTCTTAATCGGACCGTGCCGACTAATGCAATCTAGCTTGTTTACATGGTTTTCTTGTGATCTATGCGTTAAAATTTCGATTGCTTGGGATTCTCACTCGTTTGCTTGGAGTAAATATTATTTACCAAGATTTTCGCATGATTTCATAGTCAAGCAGAAAAATCAATATACAATAGAAGCATCAGTTCTTGTTGCTATTATTATATTATTATTATTGTTTTAMGGAAAGTAATTCCATTTTTCCAGATACCTTGACCCAAAATTCAGGTAATACCAATTCAAGTTTTATCGGAATACTATGTTATATCACGCCTTCTTGTTATGTCGAAAATGCATTTGTAATTCATTTCAATCAATCATTGTTTATATGAATCATCATTGAAATCCAACCCCTAGACGAAATTGGATAGTCATACTGTTAATACATACGCATACATTAAATTACTTAAATGTTTTATATGAAGAGAACAAAAAAAAAAAGAGAAAAGAATATTGTGTATAATTCTCATTTATAGATTGGTCAACGACATGGTGGATTCCTTGGCGTCTTGCAAAGAGCGCTGGCAAGAGCATCTCCTCACATTTGGTTTGAAAGAGGCGAAGCTAAGGATCGTCACTTGGTTGCCGAAAGACTAAAACAGCATGTGTCAGATCCTAGCAATCCGCCAATTCTGATATTCCCGGAAGGTACTTGCATCAACAATACGTCCGTTATGCAGTTTAAGAAGGGTAGTTTCGAAGTGGGCGGCGTTATATATCCCGTTGCCATAAAGTAAGCATTGTTTACACATTCTATCAGTCAACATAATAATATCAAATTCGCCTTCGTTTCAGATACGATCCCAGATTTGGCGATGCATTTTGGAACAGCTCCAAATACTCAATGATGCAATATCTTTACATGATGATGACGTCGTGGGCAATTGTGTGCGACGTTTGGTACTTGCCGCCCATGTATAGGCAGGAAGGCGAGTCGGCGATAGATTTTGCCAATCGTGTCAAAGGTGTTATAGCCAAACAAGGCGGTTTGGTTGATTTGGTATGGGATGGCCAGCTGAAACGGATGAAACCGAAGAAGGAATGGAGAGAAATACAACAAATTGAATTTGCAAATCGATTAAAATCGGATTGACGTTTCAGTTAAACACTTATTATGTTATTATTTGTAATTTACAATGGAGAAAATGTAAAAATAAATGACTTTTACCAAAACAAACGCAAGATGAAACTGAAAAGCAACAGAACAGAATACTTCCCCAATATCAAAGACTAGAGTAATAAGAATAATATATTTCAAAAGAAAATATCAATTAAATATGCCTGTAAATTGTGAACAGAAAACTCAATTATTCGTAATAATGGTTTTTATTAATTTCTCTCATGGTCTGTCAATGGTGTAGATCTATTTATAATCCTTGTAAATATTATTAAAAATATGTTAATATAGGTATTTGTACATATATATCAAGGCATATAAGGCATGATAGACATATAGCTAAGTGATTTATGTAAGGGATTAAGTTAGTTGTTCCTCCGTTTGTAGAATTACAGCATTCTGTTGCAAAATTGACAATTTTCGGATACAAATTTTTCCAAAACTGTACGCGACGATTGTCCGAGAGATAACCAGTATTGAAACTTTCATCAACTATCAAGTATGAATATCTGGGCGGCTCCATTGCGCTCCATTTCACATAAACATTGGCCTTTGTAGGATTCGATGCTTTCGCAAAATTCGCCCACAATGTCATAACAATGTCTGCCATTTTCTTATCAGTGGGCTTCCACTCCACAACATTGCCCACATAGGGAATACCCCAAACGAATATCTGGTCGAAATACTTCGGCACTCCAATCCAATTCGGTAGATCAGAGCTTAGAGTTTTGGATCGAAACTTAAATATATAGCTATAAACAGTCTGATGCTTACTGACGATGTCTATAAACGTTTCCAATGGAGTTAAATATGCTTTTTCAGTATGAGAATTGATTATATTTGTATTAATTTTCATTTCTTCCTCGCTGTTTTCATCGGAATACATAAAATTAATAGCATCAGAAACGATGGGGAAGTTCGTACACCATTCGTTATTTCCGGTTACTTTATAGATATCATTTACTGCAATGTCGGAAAAGAAGCTTTTGATATCCTCCGTAGTCAGCTCAGTAGAAATATACTCATCTAAAAGTGTAAGAACTTCCTCCATATCAGTAATGCCAACAATCAGTGGCACTTTGTGATAAGTTCCACTCTTGAATAGATTTTCCGGCTGGTTTTCGATAAATGGATATGACGTATTACTTAGTCCATAATCGACAATGGGGCCCCACTGAATAGACGGCAGATTCTCGGTTATTATTTTTGCATCGATTCTCTTTAAACATTGAATTAATAGCGACGTTGGTCTTCGAGCGCATCCGAAAATATTTGATATCCTATCCAAATCATTGTTGAATTCATGGGGAAATCGAACAGGGACGAGGGGATTTCCAGACATTATAATTGCTTTATGAAACGCGCCCTTCGACCACTCCCCCGACGTCATATGCAAAGCCGCACTAATTGCACCAGCATCGTGGCCCATTAATGTGATCCGATTCTCGTCACCACCGAAATAATTGATATTTTTCTTAACCCAATATAGTGCAGCCGACTGGTCCATCAATCCGAAATTTCCTTGAGCTTCGCCGTCTTCCGTCGAAAAGAAGCCAAATATATTTAATCGATACGAAAATGTTACAACAATAACTTTCTGCTTAAAAACCAATTGAAATGGCTCAATGTCAATTGGGCTGCCCGTTGTAAAGTTCCCGGAATGAATCCAAACAATTACAGCATATCCATCGACTTCAGGTAGTCCTAAAAATAGATGCAAAAACATTATAAATACATTATGGAGAAAGAGTGCTGTAGAAGATCGTTATTATATACCGATATCAACTCTGTTACAATTTGAAAAAATTTAAAAATTGGTCAATAAATGTTCAAAGATCTCTACCATCGGTAAATATATTTATCAAAAAATCATAAAATATTCAATATTTTATTTTAAATAGTTCAAAGACTCACCGTCAGGTACATAAACATTCAAATGCAAACAGTTCTCATCGTATTTTTTTGCACCACTCTCATTAGGCATATCTCCCGAAAGAACATCCAATACTTTATCGAGCTGGGCATTAGTTGGGGCGCGCGCTTTTTGCCAACAGCTGGGCGCGAAGGAGGTTGCATTGAAAACGCCTTTCCATGGCGGCAATTCAATGTCGGGCGGAGAGAATCTTGCAGCATGTGCATACCGAATTCCCAAGTATGCTTTAATATTTTGAGTTCGATACATTTTCAGATATGTCCCAGATATAATACCATTTCCAGGTATATGTATATAGGGTGCATCGATGCTATTTACACACGTGTAGAACAAATTATATGTGACGTAGAAATAAACACAAATTAACAAATTCTTCGACCACATCGTGACTTGTAGTATTTTTGCACATGCTTAGAGGGTTTAAGGTACAATACTCAGGAGTTTCTAAGATTCTTTTTTTTTGGTCAATAAAATTGTCAAGGAACGAAAAACAAGCTAATAAACCCTGTTGCTAAGCCTTCGTATCCATGGCAACAATCCGTTTTTTTTTTCATTCATTCTTTTGGATGAATAAAATCATTGCTAAGCCTTCGTTGTCATGGCAGCAATCAGGGCTTTAATATCCCAAATTACAACGCTTTCGTTGCTAGGTCATAAATTGAGCCAATTCTATACCCTAACATAAAGTGAAAGTTCTGAATAGCTTGACTCTTCTAGTGGGTTATTAGAGCATTCGCTTACATACTAATTGAAATTTCAGTTATTCAACAGTTTGTTTACAATGCAAATTGCTTCATTGTTAAATGAATGGGTTATCATTGCTTTAAATATATATAATTATTACTAATACAACTATCCTTTTTTATACATTCATATATATATTTTTGTATATTTTATTTACAATTATTATTTTACAGTTAATTAAAGTAAAGTTGCAGATTTGACGCTTTTTAGGTTCGTACATAAATTCCAACAATTGAAATTTCAGTTATTCAACAGTTTGTTTACA